AACAATGAATAATATGTGAAGGTTATTCACATATTAAACAAAATTTTAACGCGGGATTTAATCCCGGTTCATGACTGTCGGGAATCGAGGGTAGTACCCACTCGTCCACTGACTTTATTATCCTCGTGGTCAGGATATGATATTAATTGATATACAATATATATATTGAGATAACAGGTATCTTTTATAAAGTACAAATTTCTCGTTTTTTTTAGAACAAATTATTTTTAACGCATGTTCAACTAGCAAAATTGATAAAATTCAAAATGTTTTCTTTCTTTAAATGATTAGCTTTTCTCCTCAAACTAACGGTAAATATGAGCCTGAGGTGTAGTTGTGTTAAAAATAAATCGATGACTAGAGAAGCGCGGCTTTAGAAAGAATTATTTAATTAATAAGGGTAGATTATTATTATTATTTTTTTTAATTTTGAACAGCGAAGAACACGGTAAAATGTCTATGGATAATTTTGACTAGGTAAGACAAAGGGTAAAATTAAAATACAAATATAGATTCCTGTTGAAATCCAAGTAGCGATAACTTTGAACCAGAATGAGGAAGGACTGGCACGGTTGTTGTTCTTAGCGGTTGGCACATCCCAAGCTGTGAAAGTCATCATCAGATAGAGAGATGCGAAGGCAAAAGTTAAGTGAAAAAAGGACCAATTATAGGTAACTTTAATTTCTTCATCATCCCACACTCTCGGATGTTCCCTTCCCAAGTTGGAATTAACCACAAAGGCAACTTCTTCATTATCTTTACGTTCAGAAGATGGAACATTTGGGTTTTCTGAACCATCTTCAAGTAGTTCATTTTTTTGGAGATTATTTCGAAAAACGGCATAGGTAAGGATGGCTAATGTAATGAGGAATCCTAAAAGGCTGTTAATTGCTAGATCTTTATCTTCTGGAACGCAATAAGGGCAGGGAGTTGATATCAGGGCCGTCCAAATCAAGTAGGTAAGGAAGAGGGATACCAAAGATGATTGGAGAAGTCCTGATCTTGACTGGGCTTTCTGAACTTGAAGAATCTTCGATGCAATAGATAACATGATACAGAAAGCCAAATTCAAGGTGATGATAATTCGATGAAGATCGCAGTACTTGCCTTTCGCATATTGATTAAACAGGTAAATCTTGCCTAGAATTGCAAGTCCATAATTGATCAGGGTAAAGAATACAATTCCACGTTCATAGATAGGCAAACCAGATTCTTCATATTTTTGCATCCAATTTTCAACCCACGCATACGAGAATTCAATCAGAAAAAACATCTGAATAATAATAAAAATTGAACTTCCCATGAGACCAAGATACATTAGCAGAATATCGAATTTCGAGTTGGCAGGAATATGAAACGAACCAGTAACAAAAAGAAGAAGTATAATCAATTTTGGAAACCAAAATCCATTTTGTATCCAAGAACGTGGATCGACAGAACTTGCCACATCAATCATGAGAAGGCAGAAAAGAAAGAAGAAACCACTAATGGCAAAGAAAGCACGATAGGTTCCAAGATGTACAACGTGGTTCTTGCAATCAGGATAAGACAGATTTGAATCATTGATGCAGTATGGAGAAATATGTTTCATATGTACTCCCGGTATCATCAGGATGAGAGCGATGCAGACGATAAGTAGAAAGTAGCAGGCGTACATAAACCTGGTTGATCTGGATGTGCGACATGGCGGACAGACATGACACCAGAAACCACAGGCTTCTTTGCCGCAACAGCAAGCGCAAGAGCCAAGAGTAAAATTCTTTAGGAAGTCTAAAATACCTCCCATATAGCTCTTGCGCTATAAAAACAAGTTACAAACTTCTAAAAACGTTTTTGAAATGCGCGCCTAAATCACGTGCATGGTTAGAAAGTAAAAAAAAAAAAAAACTGAAGTCAAAACTTGATAAAGTAAAATTTCACAAAAAAAGTTATTTTTTACTCTTGAAGTTTATCTAAATTGGCTACTTGTGATCTGTTAGATGTTTAGAAGAGCTGGATATTCAAAAGAAAGACAATAACGAACTAAACAAAATGATAGAGTTGCGTTCTCTAGTAGAAATAGAAAGTGTTACACACAGAAGGATTTAAAGAAAAACACATGGAATTTAGATCAAATCAAATTCTTGTGGATTTATGTTTGTAAAACGTCTAAAAATAGTTAAATGCGGACACATTTTTCCATACATAGGTAAAAAAAAAATACGGGGAAGACGATAGGCTATTTTAAAAAATATATAAATCAATTATTAAAACTATATATTACAAAACTATTTTAGAGGCGTAATATTCTTTTTAAAATAAAACAATTTCTACTGTCCTTACTGCGATGGAAAAATTAAAGGGAGGGCCTGGCTCATCAGTGGTGAACCCTCCCAGCGGTTTCGCCAGTTTAATCTACCAAAAAAAAAAAAAAAAATGGTAGATTAAACTGGCGAAGCCGCTGGGAGGGTTCACCACTGATGAGCCAGGCCCTCCCTTTAATTTTTCCATCGCAGTAAGGACAGTAGAAATTGTTTTATTTAAAAAGAATATTACGCCTCTAAAATAGTTTTGTAATTTGATAACAGATGGCGCGCTAGTGCATCGTAAAACTATATATTTTTAGTCAGAAAATGATGATGACGATATTGCTGTATCATGTTTGAATTATCAGATACAAAATTATATCGGGAAAAATTCCAAAAAGCAGAGACCACGGGTGAAACCAGTTCATTATTTTGTACGCAGGAACAAAATTCTAACAGAAAAACATTCATTCGAGCAGAAAACAAAAGCCAGATCATCTTTCTATAAAAATATCGCTTCTCAGACACAAAGTTTGGAGCGGGACGTTTCACAAGAGTGACATCCACGGCGCCAATTTATAATTGTAACGAATAGTATTTGAATAAAAACATTTAATCGGGTAAAACCCGGGCGTTGACCGGGTCATTCGGCTAGTATTAAATAATATAATGAATTGTTGAATATTCAAATTATTAATATAGAGTTTTTTTTATTATTCTCTCTCTCCCTAGTATACGTGATACAGGCCATGATAATCATGGTAGGTAGAAGTTGGCAACTGCTTTTGTTTTTGTACTGAGTGGTTGGAGCTGATGCTGTCGCAAATTTCCTCATCTTACACATCGTTGTCTACCCTAAACGGGGAGAATCTTGAGAGGATCTTAGGACGTTCATGGCAACTTAGGCCTTTAGGCAGCGTGGATAGCTTGGTAGCCAGCAGTTTCCCCCCCTGAGATGTTTAGGTATGGAGGACCACCTTGCCGTTTGTTTTGATGGAAGCTACCACGTCTTTAGTAGACATCAATGATGGTTCAGCCTTCTAGACTTCCTTTAGGATTTCCCTTGGGTTGGCCTTGACGTCTATTGATTCTACCATGAATAGGTATTCAAAGGACGAGGCCAGGTTAATGAAGGAGGTATTACCTTCTTTCTTTGATAAGACAGGATTTGCTTCCTTCGCCGAAACTGAGACATATGGGATGGTGGGGTTTGTGACACTTCCCGTAGGTTGGGGTCGACTTAGGCTCGCGCCTTTGAAGGCATCTTCCAGGAGGAGCTCTGCTTTATTTGCTAAATCGAGTAGCAAAGTTTTGGTGGCTGTGTGTCTTTTCTTGCGAGTGTTGAGGTTGGAGTCCACTAGGATGGATTCGAAAGTACGACACGCAAAGTTGAGAAGGTTGTCCATGCTGTTGAACTTGAACATCTACTTGGTAGATGGGAGGGATTCACTTTCCTCACAGTAGGGACGCTTTGTGTTTGGTGGTTGGCGGCTGCTGCCTAGATAACTTATCTCCATATTTTCTACTGTGTACTACTAACTATTAATATAATATTTATACACACAAAAGCAAAAGGGCAATAAAATATTCCAAGTCATCATAAAAAATTAAATAAAATAAATAATTCTTTTTTTTTTTGGCGCGCGCCATAAATCAAATATTACAATATGATGATATTTATTATAAAGCTATACAACCAGTTTAACCGCATAAGTTTCTTTTATTTATGAAAAATCATTTTTAATTTCAAAGAGAAATAATTTAATATCTCTAACTTTTGGATGACGTTTGAAAAGGATGAATATATGAAGAGTGATGGTCTATATATGAATGGATGACGTATGGAGGGTGACAAATATGAAGAGTAATGGCGAACGGAAAAATACGGACATGGCACCTGCCCGGTAAGCAGAAGGTTGTGGGTTCGATTCCCGCTCCTGGACACTTTTATTTTTCCGTTCGCCATTACTCTTCATATTTGTCACCCTCCATACGTCATCCATTCATATATAGACCATCACTCTTCATATATTCATCCTTTTCATACGTCATCCAAAAGTTAGAAATATTAAATTATTTCTCTTTGAAATTAAAAATGATTTTTCATAAATATAAAAGAAACTTATGCGGTTAAACTGGTTGTATAGCTTTATAATTATACGCCGCAGTCATTTATAAATGATATTTATTATTTTCAAAAATTATCAGAGCGTGGTTTCGATCCATTGACCTCTGGGTTATAGACCCAGTACGCTTCCACTGCGCTAATCTGCTCTGCTGCGTGTAGTTGCATTTTTAATATCCTCAATATAATACATGTGAATGTTTAAACCTTTTTATTATCCTTAATACACATACATGGTACAGGCCATGATAATCATGGTAGGTAGTAGTTGGCGACTCTTTTACTGTGATTGCATTGCATGTCTTTACTTGTGAAAACGCGACCAGAGCCCTGTTTGGTACTTACCCTCACTGATGGGGTTGGACATTTGCAAGAATTGGGGCCGTTGGAGCATTCTTTTATTCAGAAAAAGTGCCCGGTTTATAGCACTCATCCACCGACCATCATGCTTAAAACTAGAATATTGTAAATGAATCCACATGTTCCAATATACCTAGAGATAAAAAGATGTAACCTTGGATTAGAGGAGATCTAAATAAGCCGATCATTTGTCATCACATTTTATTTGTGATCAAATTAAAAAAAAAAAGTAGCAGAGCGTGGTATCGATCAAGGACCTCTGGGTTATGGGCCCAGCACGCTTCCACTGCGCCACTCTGCTCTACTAATTTTCTTTATTATTAATTCTTGAAACTATAAATCCCATTTATTTGACATATTGGACGCGATATCCCAGCTTGAGATACTTGCGTCTAAGTACATTTTATCATACAAATTTAATTTAAAAAAACAATAACAACATCAGTATTTATTAAAACTAAAAAGTAGGTTTTCTCAAACAGAAAAAATATCTAAAATGAATATATAAAAAAATATACTGAATTTTGCATACATGTCTTTGC